CTATAAATCTCTTGGATCGCCCAACCTTTATCGGATTTATCGATTGTTTGATAATGTCAATTTGGCCAGAAAAACAATCACCTGGTCAACGTTGGCTCCTTCCATTAATGTCCATACACTGTTGAAGCCCCGTTTTGGAATGGCATACGAATCAAGTTCAGTGCTATAGCCTTTTTCAATTTTAAAACGTCATACAGTTCGTGCGCAGCGCACATCAGGCTCAAAGTCCTTCCAATCCAATAAACCGAATGGGCGGAAAAATCGGCAAATTTCAAACTGTTCAATAAAATTAAAGATTTTCAATTTTTTCGTTACATAAGCCGGTATGCCGGTTGGCATATAATTTAAATAATCTGTCAACCTGCAGCCAGCAGGCGGTTTCGCAACCCAGGAGATGTCTTTGGTTATGCTATTGACGGGCGGTGTGAGCCAAAACGTACGTTCATCGTCCGACTTGTCCGACTTGTTGTCACTAATGCTTAGCCAGGTGACCAATTCTATTGTACCTGGGGAAAGTTGCGGCACAAATAGGCGACGGCCTCTTGAAGGTGTATTTCGGAAAGTGACATCTGCGCTGATAGTGGTAGTAGTAGGAGTTGTGGTTGCGGTCATGGTTGTGGTTGTGGTCGTGGTCCGGGAAGTTATATCCAACGCCTTCTTTAATTCAATAGATGTCTCCTTTTGCAGACAATCCACCGAGCGGCCGTTTGCCTCTTTCAAATTCCCCAAGAATCTCTTTGCATAATTAAAAGAGAACGACCAATGCTCCACTGACGGGTGGTATTCCATTTTCTTCGTCCTCCGTTTCTTTTTCGGTGATGCTGCTGTTTAAAAAGTAAATCAGTCGCGATGCGATTAGGTAGATATAATTTATGCGCAATAGCACATTACCCATGCATGTTGATTTATTTACACAGAATGATAGAGAAAAAGAGAGATGTTGAGTAAACACAGAGGATTATCGTCAAAATTTCCCAAGTAGTAATTAAGTTACGGCTAAGCCACATTAATAAAGGGTGTAAAAAACCAAATTACCAGTAAAATTTATTTATTATAATACTCCAGCATTATTTGTGTTTCTCATTATTAAATAATTAACAGTTAAATATTATTATTATAATTATTAGATCATTCATCGTGTAGTACAAAAATATCTTGCCTTTTAAACCGCATTTACGCTTCTGCGTATTAGGTCAGTTCACCCTAGCTTATATTAACCTGCCTGTACAACATTTCTTAACCCACCTGCACCCTTGGTCTTGCAGGGAAAAGAACAAAAGGTGGCTATTATTTTACCGTCACGGAACAATGGCATTGAAACCAGAAAGGTAGAAACGTCACAATTTGAGTATGTCGATAAAAGTACGAAATGAGTATAAGTGGCTCGATATATAGAATAGCCGCAATGCCTTGATATTATTACAACTTTAAGTAAAAAAAATACAAATGCAAACAAATCTGGAACGCTTTTTTTCATAAATGATGGAGGTGGAAAAACTCCCCAATGGAAAAGCAATGTCGTCATAAATTACACGTAGCTAATCAACAATATTATTTTCGTATTGCCAGCTGAAAACTTTTTCGAACATATTGAATTCCAAAACCGGGGAGCTGCCCCGCGTTGGGAGATTAGACATGGTGCTGCCACTGTCCACTTGATCACCCGATTTGGATTCACCATTATTAGCGATTGCGGGTGGCTTTTAGCAAAAGTATTGTGAACAGATGACAGGTGAGAATGTGTATGGGAGGAGAGAGAGCAAGAGAGAGCAAGAATACAAGAAAGTGCAAAAGGAGTGAGTAAGAGGGTGGTGAATTTGAAAAGGATTGGAAGAAAAAGGGTGAGTGGTCGCA